CTTCATTCTGCTCTTCAGACCTTCCTCTTCCCCCTTTCTTCTCATTTCCTCCGCTTCTCCTCCTCTCTGCTTTTTCCTCTCCCACTATCGTCTGAACACTGGCTCCAACTAGCGACTTTTGAGGGGGGGGGGGGATCGCTAAAGGTCTAGTGCTGGTTAGGTTAGATTAGGTTAGGTTAGTGTTAGGTTAGGTTAGTGTTAGATACAATGTCATGTATCTTAAGATATGATCGATAGCGTGGACCGGATGTTGACGTGAGACATGATATCCGTGGAGGGGGTGTGGGAGCGCGTCGGTGTGAGGAGGCCGATGGTTATACTCTGCTGGGAACTTAATTAAACACGCTACTATACTTTCTCACAAGCAACGTCGTGTTCTGATCAGCCGAGATTAAAATTATAACAGTAAACTCCTCTTATAGTCCTGCTACCTTGGGTCTTTCCATGTTCATTCAAGATATCATGACAATTGGGTCTTTCCTCATTCTTTAATTACTCTCACGGTAATTAACACCTCTATGACCTCTTCGTTATTATTCATCTCTCTCAATAGCTATCCATAACAGCATAATTTCCCGCCCTTATCCTCTCTTACGCATTATGTCTTTCTATCGATAACCACAAACTCATCAAAATGATAATACAAACGATGTCAATCTTCACAACAACCTCTATTGTATTCGGATAATTATAATTCTTCTTGGCAAATATTTCGTAAAAGATTTGTTTATTTTGTGTCTATATCTGTTCTTACCTTCGTCCCTCCTAGATACTGTAAGTCTTATAAAGAAGTTAATGAACCGTACTCAAACATAAGGTAGTATTCCAGTCTTTCTTAAACCTCTATGCAATTTAATCTAAAGGTATATTAGTCGTAAATCAAATTTTTTCTTTCAGTTTTCTGTTATTTCGATGTTCAGTATGTTCTTTTTGTTTTCCTTTTGTTTATTTACCTTTATCTTATTGGTCAAGTGATCATCTTTCGTCTCCCTGAATGAAGGCGGGAAACTCAGGTCTCACACTTCACAGCGCCACTCCTCCTCCTCATTGTTTATTCCTTGCATCTCGTGGTCGTGAAACTCTCTTTGTCTAATGCGTCTTTCTCTTAACATCTAACCCCCAAGCTCCTCAGGTGTGTGTGTGTATATGTGTGTATGTATATGTGTGTGTGTGTGTGTGGGGGGGGTACAGCACCTCCTGGCATTTCTCACTAATATTCTTCTCTCCTACAGCAACATAACGTGTTGTTTGAGTCTAATACAGAGTCAACAATCTAGGTTTTGAATCGCGGTCGTTTCATTTCCTGCTCTTGATCTCTAAATAAAAAAAATACTAACAGAAATAGGATAAAAATGCAGTACCAGATGAGGCATTAAAAACAAAAAGACAAAAGAGAAAACAAAAGCCATGTGGCACGGTCGTGTTGTACCTCCACCCCTTCTCTTATCAGGAACGCCCTTGGACTGGGTTAATGAGACAAAATGCCTGGGTGTGTATGTAACTCGCACACGTTGTCAGATCCCTGAAGTCCGCTATCTTCGAGACATTTGCTTTCGGCGTCTCGCTCCCCTCTCTACCATGTGCAGGGGTTCCCTTGGTGCCACCATCCCTGTACTTCTCACCATGTACAAGTCCTTTGTCCGTTCCTGTGTCGACTACGCCGCCCCTGCCCTCGTCAACATTAGTCGGACTGCTGTCAACCGTCTCGAAGTTATCCAGAGGAAAGCTGCTCGTATCATCCTTGGGGCTCCTCAGTGGACACGCTCTACTTCTCTATATACCGAACTTGGTCTTTCCCCCTTACAGGATCGTGTCCAGGAGTTTTACCTAAAAACTGCCGTTTCCATTCTACGGGATCCTCGGGGCAACTATGTCCAAACCAACTTGACTCCTGCTGTCCGAGACCGACCTCCATCTAGAAGACAGTGGCGAGGGTCACTCATCCGAGCCCTTCAGGAACACGACCTCCTGCCTGATATTGTTGTCACCCCTGCTGTTGGTTCGTCTCCTTCTCCCTGGCTGGATTTTCAACCTGAAGTGATTGCCCTCGGTGGACCGCTCCCGAAATCCCAGGTGAACCCTGTTATTCTCTGCAAATACCACCTCTCCAGGATCGCTCACTGGTCCCCAGGTAGGGTCGTCCTCTACACTGATGGTTCTGTTGACCCCGCTACAGGTAGGGCCGGGGCTGGTGTCTACATCTCCCGTCCTGATGCCCCTGAGCCTATCAAACTGTCTCTCAGAGTTTCTGACGGGGCATCCTCCACTCAGGCTGAACTAATAGCCCTCCTTGCTGCCCTTCTCGCTGAGAAAGAAGCAGATGGTTTCTGCCCCTTGCTTGTCTGCTGCGATTCCAGGTCTGCTCTCGACGGGATCGCATTTGGATCAGGGGAAAATAAGGACCTCATCCTCCGAATACGAGGGTTAACATCCACACTTCAGGATGCAGGCCGTCCTGTGACATTCCTATGGATACCCAGCCATGTCGGTATCTTGGGGAATGAGGCAGCAGATGGCCTTGCCAAGACTGGCTGCAACAAGGCCACACCTGACTACGTTGTTCCTCGAACACTTTTACAGATTAGGACCCAAATTCGCCGCAAACAGAGAGAAGCTCGGGAAGCAGCCATCACCCTGGACTCCCCGCCCACCTGGTACGATGTCCTCCGTAAACTTCCTGACCTCTCGTACGTCTATGGGAAAGGGTCGCGGAAAGGGGACGTGATTGCTGCCCGTATCATCATTGGGTATGACTTTGCTTGGGAGATTGGTATCCCCGCATCCCCTGAGCAACGCTCTTGTGCATTATGCAGAAGACCCGACAGCAGCACCCTTATCCACTACCTCCTAAGATGTCCCCACACACAACGCTTCCGTGACGCCTGCTGGACCACCACTCCACGACCCCCTGACGGAGACACGATGATCCTCCCCATACTGGCCAGATATTTTGTAAATAACATTGATTATGTGTTAAAGGAATATCCTTCCTTCCTTAGGCTTTAGTAAGCCCCTTTATAATATTTATACTGTATATACTTGTCACACTTGCCAGATGCTTCTGGTGTCATTGTACAGGGGTACCTAGTGACAGCACTAGGATCCCGCTTCCTCTATCAAGGAATAAACAATTGAAATTGAAGACAAAAGAGTGATGGACTAGACTGACGGACAGGTATAAATAAACTTGTCTCAAAACAAACGTTCACGAATGAGTGGATGTAAGACTCGGCACTGTAAACCAACCAACGTACGATGCAAGAGGTGACATAACATCTCTTTCTCTGGAGTTGAAAAAGAAAATTAAAAACAATATCATAGAATCATCGGAATATAAAGAACAGAATCAACTCTCCCAAACATGAAGAATCTCACACCATCTATACTAACTGTGTCAGATGGACACCTCCTTTACAGTTTGTTTATAATTTAACCATATCACAAATCTAACCACGCACTCTCCTAATAAGGCATTTCAAGGGTAACTAACTACTTCTGTATCTTCAATTAATTACTGTTATTGTCACTTAACTCTTAAACACAGCTTGAAAAAAATATTGCATGTATTTTATTACCAAGAAAAACGGGTATTTTTTTTTGTCATTTGAAACTTTCCATGAACGTTCCTCTCACAATTATTTACCATAACCCGTAAGACACCACAGGAATTGCTACTTAACCCTCGGTGTTTGGTTTCACTCACTAATAGGTTCTCGGGGCACTTAGCTTAAACCTACAAATATTATCGAGTTTACGTCATTCAGTAAAATCATTCCTTTGTTTTAACCACGCTTTTGTACCACGCTTTTGTACCACGTTCTTGTACCACACTTTTGTACCACATGCTTGTACCACACGCTTGTACCACACTTTGTACCACACTTTGTACCAATCAACCTTTCTACAAATTCTGTTCTATCACTCAGCTCTCAGGACAGGTATCATCATCTCTCAGCGCTTACTCAGCTCTCAGGGCAGGTATCATCATCTCTCAGCGCATACTCAGCTCTCAGGGCAGGTATCATCATCTCTCAGCGCTTCTCAGGGCAGGTATCATCACTCAGCGCTTACTCAGCTCTCCAGGGCAGGTATCATCATTTCTCAGCGAGCCTATCAAGGTGTCTCCTCAGCGTCTCTCAGGGCCATCATTCTCACTCATCATCATCTCTCAGCGCTCACTTATGGTATCATCTGGGGCAGGTATCATCATCTCTCAGCGCTCACTTCCTCATCTCTCAGCGCTCACTTAGCTCTCTCAGGGCAGGTATCATCATCTCAGCGCTACTCAGCTCTCAGGGCAGGTATCATCATCTCTCAGCGCTCAGCTCTCAGGGCAGGTATCATCATCTCTCAGCGCTCTTAGCTCTCAGGTATCATCATCTCTCAGCGCTCACTTAGCCGGGGCAGGTATCATCATTCTCAGCGCTTACTCAGCTCTCAGGGCAGGTATCATCATCATCTCTCAGCGCTCACTCAGCTCTCAGGGCAGGTATCATCAGCTTCACTCAGCCGTCATCAGCGCCCCAACCCTCAACCTTCATCCGCCACTAACTGTCCCTCAGCACACATCACACACACATCTCCTGTGGTAACACATGGGTGACACACACCTCCTGTGGTAACACATGGGTGACACAGATCTCCTGTGGTAACACATGGGTGACACATACATCTCCTGTGGTAACACATGGGTGACACACATCTCCTGTGGTAACACATGGGTGACACAGATCTCCTGTGGTAACACATGGGTGACACACACACCTCCTGTGGTAACACATGGGTGACACACACCTCCTGTGATAACACATGGGTACATACGAGTGCTGTGGTTGACACATATCTACTGTGGTATACACATATGAGACACGCTGCTGCTGTGGTGAAAACAAGAGAGGCGGCGGGCGACAGTGCTGCCTCTCAGTGTATATTTGACCACACATATATATGAAAATGTGGGTCGTCGCCTCACCTCCACCATTTGCCGCCCTCTGCTATTGTCATGTTAAACCTTCCCTCGCCCTGCTGCCGCTGTTACCATTCTCTTGCTGCTGCTGTTCCTGGTACTGTTCTCGTGCTGCTGCTGTCCCTAGTACTGTTCTCCTGCTGCTGCTGTTCCTAGTACTGCTCTCCTGCTGTTGTTCCTGGTACTGTTCTGCTGCTGCTGCTGCTGTTCCTGGTACTGTTCTCCTGCTGTTGTTCCTGGTACTGTTCTCCTGCTGCTGCTGTTTCTGGTACTGTTCTCCTGCTGTTGCTGTTCCTGGTACTGTTCTCCTGCTGCTGCTGTTCCTGGTACTGTTTTCCTCCTGCTGCTGTTCCTGGTACTGTTCTCCTGATGCTGTTGTTACTGGTACTGTTCTCCTGCTGCTGTTCCTGGTACTGTTCTCCTGCTGCTGTTGTTCCTGGTACTGTTCTCCTGCTGTTGTTGTTCCTGGTACTGTTCTCTTGCTACTGTTGTTCCTAGTACTGTTCTCTTGTTCCTGAGTGTTCCTGGTCTGTTCCTGCTGTTGTTCCTGGTACTGTTCTCCTGCTGCTGTTCCTGGTTCTGTTCTCCTGCTGTTGTAACATTTCTGTCATTGCTGTTGTTGCTGTTATTCTGCTACTGCTGTTACCATACTGTTGTTTCCACCATGCTGTTCCTGTTAATGTTAAAATGCTGCTAATGATGTAATAATGCTGTTACTATGCTGCTGACGATAATGATGAAGGTCTTGTGGTCTTTATACTACGAGGGTATTGTCAGGCTCCTCTCGCTAATACTGACGATGCTGTTCCAAGGTTATTGGTGCTACCCTCTATGCTGCCGCTACCGTTATACTGCTGCCACTACTATGCTGATACTGTTAATACTCTGTTGCTAAGAATACTGAGGTGATATACTGAACATCCAATAGCTGCTGTACTGTTTATCAAGAACTTGTGTTACACCGCTACAGTTAAACCTACACATTTACATTTCCTCTTAGGTGTTTTCCTCCCGTCATCTCTTACTTACTAATGCATAAGTTTCCTTGGTTCTGAAAAATCACTTATTGTCATAGAAGAGTCGACTTTAGTGTGGTGGGAGATGTTCAGTCAAATGGGTTCTTGATAAGTCCTTAATGTTCTTTCTATGGCTGTTTCTCCAAGGTGCACACACACACACACACACACACTCGTTCAACCAACTGATACTAAATATTTCTTATTATACGTGAATTCCCTTTGTCATACTTAAAGATGATATCCTGTATACCATAGGCCAAACAAATCCACACCCTCTACATCTACACCCCACTCGTCCACCTACACCTCACTCATCCACCTACACCCCACTCATCCACCTACACCCCACTCATCCACCTACACCCCACTCATCCACCTACACCCCACTCATCCACCTACACCCCACTCATCCACCTACACCTCACTCATCCACCTACACCACACTCATCCACCTACACCCCACTCATCCACCTCCACCCCACCCATCCACCTACACCCCACCCATCCAGTTGCTCCATCTCCTCTCATAGCAGCCTTGTCCTCCCTCTCTCTCTCACACAACACGGTCCCGTCCTGATGAGATGAGTCCCATTCCTCTTGACTCATCCTCGGCAAAATGTTCCTCTAAATCTATACACGTAATCAGTGACTCAGGTCTTATCCTTCTGCCCCCGTCACCATCGTTCACCTTCAACCCTTTCTTTACACTACCGTTACTTTAATGCAACTTGTGATTGAAATTCATTCTAGTATTTGACGCATAGTTGAAGTGAAATGTTCAATGTGTAACTCCAATGCCTGTCATCAATATACTGTTCAAACGCTATATAGAAGAACATCGTGATAGGAATATTTCAAACCGTTCGATGGCTTTTCTTCCACACAAACTCCACAGCTTCTGAGACACAGGACACCAGGCCTCTCGTGACCACAACATGATAGTACTCCTCTCCCCTAAAGAATATTGTGAGGTACAGGTCAGAGCTTTGAGCTGTGTCACTATGTCAGTCGCTGGTGTTATGTGTATATCCCCTTACTACTGAACCCAAAAACATTCAGGTAAAGATGATAATGAGAGGTGGAGGTAAGTGTGGTATTGGTGGTGGTAGAGGTGGTGGTGAGGATTAAGGAACACAAGAGAAAGCATTACTGCCGCAACCTAACAATAGATTTTTTAAGGCGTTAATGTGAGGGGGAGAAGGATATATAGCGAGGGGAAGTAACACGAGTACACACAGGGAAACAACGGCTGAACAGCTTACACCGGACTAAGGCAAGATTATGTTAGGTGAGGGACCTGTTGTGTTGAGGCGGCCTCCTGTGCTGGAGGCCAGGTGGGCTGCTACACTGTGTGCTGGAGGCCAGGTGGGCTGCTACACAGTGTGCTGGAGGCCAGGTGGGCTGCTACACTGTGTGCTGGAGGCCAGGTGGGCTGCTACACTGTATGCTGGAGGCCAGATGGACTGCTACACAGTGTAGTGGAGGCCAGGTGGGCTGCTACACTGTGTGCTGGAGGCCAGGTGGGCTGCTACACAGTGTAGTGGAGGCCAGGTGGGCTGCTACACTGTGTGGTGGAGGCCAGGTGGGCTGCTACACTGTGTGGTGGAGGCTAAGTTGGCTGCTACACTGTGTGCTGGAGGTCAGGTGAGCTGCCACACTGTGTGGTGGAGGCCAGGTGGGCTGATACACTGATGGAGGTAATCCAGTCAGAGGAGACGTCTTAACAGTCGGGTCAGAGAGGAAGATAGATGGCAGGTGACGGGTGACAGACAACATGAGTGGGTGGATCACTACCTCACAACATGAGTGGGTGGATCACTACCTCACAACATAACAACATGAGTGGGTGGATCACTACCTCACAACATAACAACATGAGTGGATGGATCACTACCTCACAACATAACAACATGAGTGGATGGATCACTACCTCACAACATAACAACATGAGTGGGTGGATCACTAACTCACAACATGAGTGGATGGATCACTACCTCACAACATGAGTGGATGGATCACTACCTCACAACGTAACAACATGAGTGGGTGGATCACTGCCTCACAACATAACAACATGAGTGGATGGATCACTACCTCACAACATGAGTGGAGTGGATCACTGCCTCACAACATAACAACATGAGTGGATGGATCACTACCTCACAACATGAGGATGGATCACTACCTCACAACATGAGTGGATGGATCACTACCTCTGGCATGAGTGGATGGATCACTACCTCACAACATGAGTGGATGGATCACTAACTCACAACATGAGTGGATGGATCACTACCTCACAACATGAGTGGATGGATCACTAACTCACAACATGAATGGGTGGATCACTACCTCACAACATAACAACATGAGTGGATGGATCACTACCTCACAACATAACAACATGAGTGGTTGGATCACTACCTCACAACATGAGTGGATGGACCACTACCTCACAACATGAGTGGATGGATCACTACCTCACAACGTAACAACATGAGTGGGTGGATCACTGCCTCACAACATAACAACATGAGTGGATGGATCACTACCTCACAACATGAGTGGATGGATTACTACCTCACAACATAACAGCAAAGTACCAAGTTTTTTCCCCACACACAACACGAACCCCCAAAAAACGACAAAGTCAACTAAGGAAAAACTCAAATTAAAATTGTTCCTAAATAAGTTATCTGATTTGCATACAGGTTACATTATAGGTTGAGTAACATTATAGAGAACATAAACACAGGATGATACAGGGATGATAGGTAGTTGAATGATAGGTAGTTGTCTAGCTGAATGATAGGTAGTTGTCCAGCTGAATGATTGTGCAAAATGAATAAATGCTGAGGATGATTCATGAATAATGTATAATATAAGGAAGATATAAGAGAACACAAGCCTAAGTACACCTGCAGGTAGACACAAGTACTAAGAGTATTGCGGGTTTAGTTATGTTAATGAGGAACAGGTGTAAGGCAGGTGACTTACTGAGAGACGAGTGTGGGCGTGGTGAGAGACGAGTGTGGGCGTGGTGAGAGACGGGTGTGGGCGTGGTGAGAGACGGGTGTGGGCGTGGTGAGAGACGGGTGTGGGCGGTGAGAGACGAGGGCGTGTTGAGAGACGAGAGGTGGGCGTGGTGAGAGACGAGGTGGGTGTTTGAGACGAATGTGGGCGTGGTGAGACGAATGTGAGAGACGGGTGGGTGTTTGAGAGACGAAGTGGTGAGACGAGTGGGCGTGGTAGAGACGAGGTGGGTGGTGAGACGACGAGGGCGGTGAGGAGAGACGAGTGTGGGCGTGGTGTGGTGAGAGACGAGGTGGGCGTGGAGACGAGGTGGGGTGTGGTGAGAGACGAGTGTCGTGGTGGAGAGACGAGTGTGGGTGGAGAGACGAGTGGTGAGAGACGAGGTGGTGGTGGAGAGACGAGTGTGGGCGTGTGGCTGAGCAGGAAACAAGATTTATGGGCGGCCTGGGACCAGCAGCCTCATAATTACCAGGTGGCCGACTGTGTAGAGAGAGAGAGAGAGAGAGTGTGTGTGTGTGTGTGTGTGTGTGTGTGTGGTGCGGTTAGAAAAACAAACAAACAAACAGACACTCAGTTAGAAAAACAGCCATGGACTAAAATAATAGCAAGGCAGAGAGGAAGTCACACAGTTTGAGAGAGAGAGAGAGAGAGCGAGTGGAACACAAGTATATGAAAGTAAAAATTATGAAAATAGAGAAGAAATAAAAGATGTCAAAAAAACACTTCAGTGAATAAGCAAAAAAAGAAGAATTAATAAATTGTTCAGAAAATCTTAGATCATGTCGACCAAACAGGAAATATTTCTTGCTCACGTCAATGCTAATTTCTGGAGGTAATCAAAGTTTCCGCATTATTTAACATTTCTTAGATTAAAATCGACCCCTTGAGAAAATCACCATTGTTTTTATGCCGCAGCTTATACCCCTCACATCTTCCTCTTGGTGAGCGGCGGTGCTCCTTGATCACAGGTGAACACGGCCTTAATCTAAACTTTCCTACTGGATTGCTCGGGTCTTTTTGAGTCGCCAGGATGCCTCAGAAGACGATTATGGCGTCTCCCGGGTCGTTCTTCTGTCTAGTGGTCTCATGATGGCTTCCTGCTGCCCTCTGAGTCGCTCTTATGTCTAATAATCTGAGCCTATCTGTCGAGTACTTCAGGCAGGTCTTCTGTTAGAATATAAATTACGTGAATGTACATTATGAGTCGTTATTATGTCACACTTGGGAACTTGGTGACTCGTAAAGTCTCATAATTTTACTACTGAAGAAGTGCAGGAGTCACTAAGCACTGCCCTTATACCACAAGGGGCGTCAGGTGTTATAAGTGTAGTGGGTCTTGGTTCTCTAAGTCTTATGCTCTGTGTATCATTACGATCTTAAAGTGCCTTATGCCTTTGGATATTTTGTGAGTCGTTGATAAATTATCTTTTCTTTTTCTGTTTAGATTTTCCTTTTCTGTTCTCTCTTCTGCTCTCCTCTTTTTTTTTTTCCTTGTATTTCCAAGAAGTCAACCGTTCCGTCACGACCCCAGAATTACGGGCACTGTGTCCCCTGGTTCCCGATTTTGTCAGTACTGATTACATTTGTAGCCGAGCAGGACGGTGCCGCTGTGAGCCTCCCGGGAGCTTGTCTTCACCTCCAGGTCTCTTGGTCTTTCAGTCTCAATATTTATCTCATGCTCATCTCTCTCTCTCTCTCTCTCTCTCTCTCTCTCTCTCACATTCCAGTATTTTGTGTACCTCACTACTGTCTCCTAACTAGTGTTTGTTAAGTGAAGGAATCTAGTTAAGAGTCTCTCACTACACAGCTTTATATTATTAATCCGGGCGCCATTGCTCCACCTTACTTTAAACTAACCTGTTAGATACATTCTTACATCTTCAAGTGTGAGGAATACTAATCAAATATTTCAGTAGTCGTCCCCAGAAGCTGTCGGTCTAGCGGCTTCCTCAAAATTCTTCCCCACAATATTTTTAACAATTTTCTTCATTATTTAAACGTTTAATTTTATCTTAATTGCGATAATGGAAAATATAAACAGACGCCAAGTAATGTAATAACAGGAGGGCGTTACTTGTTATAATAAAGTCAAGAGAATTAAAAATAAACTCGGATATAAAAGTATTTGTAAACTAAACATAACTGATTTTTATTCAGTTTGCTTGTGGAGAAAGTTTAGGGCAGGACGCCATGGTAAGACGACAGGGCGAGTCTGAAGTGGGACACGACACACTACTGAGAGCTGCCACAGCACTCTAAGGGAGCGGGGCACGTTCTAAGGGGCACGAGGAACGCACTCTAAAGATATGAAACGAACTCTAAGGGGTGACAGGGACGCACTCTACTAGTAACTCTCCCAGCAGTCTTAGGGGACGAGACGCACTCTAAAAACCCGGAAAAAATAGCAAAAGCAACTCTCTCTCTCTCTCTCTCTCTCTCTCTCTCTCTCTCTCTCTCTCTCTCTCTCTCTCTCTCTCTCTCTCTCTCACAGAGTTATTCCTTCATTCTTCCCATCATTCTCACCGTTGTAAAAGATAGGCTGTGTTATGGTTCACTCTTCTCCATAATAGGCCGTTCCTTGAGACACGCTACAGCCTCCCATCATAATATTATGTCCTTTCTTAAAAATTACCCCCCGCCATTTCTCTGTAGTCATCCTCATATATTGTAGTGTCCTGGGTGCTCATCCTCCTCGTATCCTATGCATCCTTTTACCCTATCCTTCATATGCTTCTACATCCTTCATATCCTTTTTCTCTCCTTCCACATCCTTCACATCGTTCTCTTCTCTTTCCAGAACCTTCTCCTATCCTTCACATCCTTTCCCTCTCCTTTCACATTCTTATTCTCTCTTCCACACCCCCCCACATCCTTCTCCTCTCCTTCTACATCCTTCATATACTT